TACCTTACACAACTTTACATTGTTACATTGCATTGCATTGCAGTACATTACATTGCATTACATTACATTACATTACATTACATTACATTACATTACATTACATTACATTACATTACATTATATTATATTACATTACATTACATTACATTACATTACATTACATTACATTACATTACATTACATTACCTTACGTTACGTTACGTTACGCCACATTACATTACATTACATTACATTACATTACCTTACATTACATTACATTACATTACATTACATTACATTACATTACATTACATTACATTACATTACGTTACGTTACGTTACGTTACGTTACGTTACGTTACATTTCGTTACATTACGTTACATTACGTTACATTACGTTACATTACGATACGTTACATCACGTTACATCACGTTACATTACGTTACATTACATTACAATACCTACTTACCTACCTACCTACATACGCACACCCATACCCACCCACCCAGCCACCTACCCACCCACCCACGCACCCACCCACCCACCCATTCACCCGAAGAAGCTGTCCGTCGACTCCGAGGATGGGTCTCGAGACTACCGTGTTGCTCCCAAGGACCAAGCTGACCGTTCTGCCCTTTCGGAGAGATACTCACCACATACACTGTAGTTTAATGTGGATTTCTGACAGGGAGCATTCTCTCTGGTCTTGTTCTCGAGCTCTGGATGTTAAAGAACGCCACAAATCATCTCCAACATAGTGGTCTGTGGCCGACGAAAAATCCTCCAATCGGACTGTCTGCACTTGACGAGCGCCCGCTGGCTGCAGGACTTGTCTTCGCCTCAGATCGCCATCTCGCGATCGTTGGGCGACCTCATCTTCAAGGTCCGTGGGTTGACGTTCACTGAGTACTGACTGCCGAAGGTCTCAAGCCGCACACCCGAGTAAGTTAAGCATTACATGCGTCAGACAAAACAGGTCGGTGATCGGTGTGTGGAGGATGAACCATGAGCCGCGCTTTGCACAGGACTCTGGGGTCATTGCGGTCCCAGAGATTGTGGAGTGGCAGGTGAAGAAGCCGTCCGATGCATACGTGCTTGTATGCAGCGATGGCACCTTAGATGCAGCGAAAATTTTTATGAAGAGAAGGCAATCTGCCCTGAATGCAATATGCGTGTCCCCAACGTCACAGGTCTCCGGGCAGGCTCAGCTCGCATGCCTATTTCAGAGTTGACGGGACGTGAACATCGCACAGTACCACAATGTGAACCGTGACAAAGCCATGTCAATGTCATTGCGGGCTCTGAAGAGCAAAGTCAGCTGTTGGCAGGCAGAACCTGCAAGCACGACAGTTTGGCAGACATCATACAGCCCCTCCACTGTGTCAGAGTCCAGGAGCCTGAAGCTGGAAACCTCTGTAAACCTCTACAAACCCTGACCCTAAACCCTATACCCTCTACCCTAAACGCGAAACCCTAAACCCTACAAGCCCAAAGGTGTCTGGGAGTTTCTGAATGCGATGGACCTCCGTGGCTTGACCCTGGAGGCCATGGATTTGGATTCAAATCGCTGGCACAATTACTGCATGTAGGGCTTGAGGTTAGTTCGTTCGGGTTTAGCAGGCTTACGGTTGTTGGTTTCGGGTTTGGGGTTTGTGATTCAGGGAGGGCATCTTGGATTAGGATTTGAGAGTTTGGGGTTCGGAGGCGATGGGTTTTGATTAGGGCTTAGGCTTAGGCTTAGGCTTAGGATTTAGAGCTTCCGGCGGGCTTAGAAACTTTGAAACTGTCTGAAAGACCTACCAGACCACCCACAGTCTTCATTGCAGCTCCTTTTCTGGTTTAACCAGTTTTTCTGTTTAACCCTAAACCCTACACCCTAAACCCTAAACCCTAGACCCTAAACCCTAGACCCTGAACCCTAAACCCTAAGCCCCCTCAAAGAGGAGTTACAATGGAGACTATAGGTAGAGTGAACAGGGTTTCGGGTTTAGGTATGCATAGATCTTTTTGCAGTTTGTTTCAACAGCCACAGGGTTTTCGGTATTTAACATTGGTTTTTCATCGACCTGTACGCATTGCCTTCGATGAGCACGCTCATCCTCGGGCTAGGTAAGAGGAGGAAGTTACTCGTAACAAACAAATAAAGGTCAGCTTCATAAGAATGAGATATCCCTTTACGATACGTAGGAGGGTACTGTAATGAACGCCCCCCACTGTTTCGGTATATCCACATCGCGTCACGCTTATGTTTCGTCCTGCCACAGGAGCCCCAACAGAAGTCCAGGGATCACCGTCAAAGACATCACGCGTGATTTTCCCAGCCCGTCTACAAACCTAGGTCCTTTGATCTCACTTCTTCTCTCTTGCTTGAGCCTGCAGGCTTTGAGATCGGAAGGCGCCTCCGCGACCGAGGTTCGGAAGCCCAGAAACCACCTGACCCTAAACCCTAAACCCTAAACCCTAAACCCTAAACCTGTGGGCTCGAAGGGGCTTGGAGCGGGGGTTTGGGTTTCGGAAGTTGATGGCCGAACTCCTCGGTGGCTCGAGGTTTAAGGCATGGAAGCTTTCGCAGCTTCATGGGGACCACCGCCTCGGACCCTTCTAGGCTAGGCAAATACGTCCGCCGGTAACTTTGGATGTCGACATGTGCCCCGTGTTAAGTGCTGTGTAGGTGAGGTGTGCGAATCTGCAGCGATTCGAACACAAAGCAACACAGAAGCTATACTAGAGTTGCCGCCGCTCTGTAGAAGTAATGGACCGGATGGCAGAAGGATTGCCGGATCCCGGCGCATCGGACAACCGGGACAGTTCAGACAGAGAGTTCGTACATGACGTTTTCAAGAATCTTGCCATGGAACGGTTCCTAGACTTCGCCGGCCCTCAGATCCATGCAAGAACCGAAGACCACAGAGTGTGTCAGGTGGTACGTGACCTTGTGCAGCGAGCCAAGCAGACCTGGAACGACATGGAGGCAAAAGTTCTCTTCCAACAAAGCTTGACAAATCCTAACTGCGCATTGGTCAGGCAAGCCAGCTGTAATAGCCGCACTCCGGGCTGCATACCAGAACGTCCCCCGGAGAGGAGTACTACTGTGACGACATCACGGTGATGCTGGCCAGCCTGAGTGGCGGGCTACCCGCATTGCTGAGGGCTCCCAAAGAAGGCTGCCCAGGCTGTAAGCAGGGGTCGTGTCCTACACAATGAGGACAAAGCCCTGCTGCAGACTTGGCGGGTATACATTCCCAGAATTTCTTTAAACGTTCAGGTGTTAGCTCCGGTCATTCCAGTAGCGTCTTTGCCGTGGCATTTAGTCATGGGGCTGCGAGACACTGTCCAAGCTGTGCGCATGCTGAGCAATGCCTGGCATCAGCACAAATCTTGTCTCGCCAACAGCCAGTTTAATTATCCGCTGTCTCAGATCGGATCAAGCCGTGGAGTGCCCCCTTGAAACGCGCAATGTTGCAGGCTAGTCACTCGAAGTACCTCAGGCCTTGTTCAAGGGCAGCGCCCGCGCAACCCAAGGGTCCGAACTGGAGCTTGGCGGTTTTGCTCGGCATGGATGCTTGCAGTAGATCGCACATCCGGTGTTGCAAACAGCTTGTTCCAAGAAGCTGTACTTCAGTCGTTCGCGTTTTCCTGGCAACTTCGATCATAACAGTGATCGACCCTCACCAATGCACTGTACATGCATAGTCGCAGTAGCAACCTCAAAGCTACCGCTACGCCGGCGGCGGCGGCTGCTGCTGCTCTTCTTAATCCTAACTTAACTACTGCTACCACTAGGACCACTACCGCTGCCACGGATACCGCCACCACTACAACCACCATCGCCGCCGCCACCACCGCCACAACTACTACTACGACTACTACTACGACTACTAAAATGACTACGACGACGACGACGACGACTACTACTACTACTACGACTACTACTACGACTACGGCTACGGCTACGACTACGACTACGACTAAGACTACGACGGCGACGACTACTACGACGACGACCAGGAGGAAGATGACGATGACGAATACAACTAGTTACTACTACTACTACTACTACTACTACTACTACTACTACTACGACTACGACTACGTCTACTTCTGCTTTTACTGCTACTACTACTACTACTACCACTACTACCACTACTACCACTACTACTACTACTACTACTACTACTACTACTACTAACTACTACTACTACTACTAACAACAACAACAACAACAACTACTACTACTACTACTACTACCAACTACTACTACAAACTACTACTACTACTACTACTACTACTACTACTACTACTACTACTGCTACTACTACTGCTACTACTGCTACTACAGCTACTACTGCTACTACTGCTACTACTGCTACTCCTGCTACTCCTACTACTCCTACTACTACTACTACTACTACTACTACTGCAACTACAACTGCTACTTCCAATGCTTCTGACGAAGAAGACGACTAGCACTGCTGCTGCTGCTGCTTCTGCTGCGGCTGGCCGTGTGTCTACCAACAGGAACTAGCAACTCGAAACTTCGTTCCTGCATGTTAGCTCTAAACCCTAGACCCAAAAGGGGCCTGAGCCCGTAGCAGTCCAAAACCGCAGGACCCCAGGAGCGTCAACAGCCTGAAAGCTCGGATGTTCCCGACCCAGTAGACGAAGAGGCGCTGGAGCTCAAGCAGCAGCTTGAGATGGCACGCCAGCAAGGCAAGCCGAGCGGGAAGTTCAAGTGAAGGAGGGCTCAGGAGGGCTTTGCAGGGTCATAAGGAGGCTCGATGAGAACGCTACTTCTCGTCTTGCTCGTCCGAGCAGGGGAATGACGGGACACACAGTGACCGCAATCATGGGAACATGCAGCAGAGATGAGGCCAGGAATGGTACGTCGATAGCAATAGAATGCCATCAAGTAGACTCGAAAATGTTGCCACTTGTACCAGCAGTAAAGCCGTGACACTTGTGGATGCTTGCAACAGGCCTTCTTGTTGTCGCGGTTGACTACGTTGTACAACGAAAGCCAAGTTGCCCCTTCGTGCAGTGATAAGGTACCATGAGGGCCTATTCCTTATTATACTTATAGTATAATGGGCCCGGGGCCCCAAAGCCCTCTTCTAATTATGAAGGCCCCTACATTCTACGGACCGCGAGAAGAAGCCCAGAGGTCCTGCAGGTAGGGCGGTGCTCACAGGTTTCCCGATGGTCCATAAGATCAAGGTTTTCAGGCTAGTCCCAGAGCCAAAATCTGTGGGAACCCTGGATGTCCAGAGTTCGACCGCTAGCATGCTACGAGGATGAAATGCGGAGTCTGATTTCCTCTTGTCTTTCTCTTGCTGTCTCATCCCCCTTGAGGCTCTCAACCCGAAACAGGTTCAGGAGCTACTTCAACGCCCAGGAACTAGAACCTAAAAAGTCGTGAGAAGACTCTGTGCATGGCCCTGCCTTTGTTGAAGGATGGCCGGCGCTTAAAGCAGCCTGGATTCGCTGCATGCAGGTGGGGATTCGGGTTTGAGAGCACTCGCTTGCAGTGAGACTTTGCCGGAGTGAACCTGGGGAGTTTGTCGAAGGATGCCAGCTGCAATAGCCCTCATCCTCGGATCAACAAGGGCAAAGCCCATTCCTCAGGGTTGGAATCCAGGTCATATGTAATTGCAGAAACTAGAACAGATGCCGGCGAACCTGATGCCCCGAACCTGGCACTGTCTTGTTTACTTCTCTAAGCCAAAACTAAACAGGTCAGACGAGTGAGCTTCGACCCAACATCATTGCCACTTGGGGTGATGCTGTAACGAAGCCGGCCTTTTGCATCACCGCTATTGTAGGAAGTACTGTTGCGGCTTCTACAACAAGGTTACTACTATAAGGTTCCAGAATAAGGCTACTACTAAAGGTTCTACTAAATTATGGTTTCGACCCGGGTTCTATGTACGCGTTCTCTTAGAGAAGACCCCCGATGTTTTCAACTGCTCAGACAGCGCCTCACAGCCGCCGCTTCGGCCATCGCGCCGTCTCCTTAAAGGAGGCCCATCTCGAAGGGACAGCATGGATCCACGGTACCTGTTTGGGGCGCTTAGGCCGTTTGATGCTTTGTCTTCATGTCATGCATGTGTCAGCATTCTGGCTTCGAGGGCTTCTGCCCGAAAGGGTAGGGGAGGAGAAGGGTGGACCAGTTCCAGACAATAATTCTGATCTAGACTCCGATTGTTTCCCTGCTTCCGTTTGGCTTTGGCGACTTCTCCGACTCACGGGAGATGCTGCATGTCACATCGCTCTCCGGGGAGAAGTATGCCGTGCCAGCGGAGGACCACGGCGATGCGAGGGCGCTGAAGGCGTACTTCAGTCGTACTCACGGCTTTCCGCCTCGCTTTCAGCAGCGGCTGCTTCTCGACGGCAATGAACTGGACGATAGCACCGGGCTGGCAGCGTCCATGGAGCTGACCCTGCTTCTGCTTCCTTTGAGCCGCACGCAACCAGACGAGCTCTACGCTGCCATCGATGAGGGATCTGACGCCCAGGTGGAGACCCTGCTAAAGATCCCCCAGGACCCAAATCAAGCTAATGAAGATTCCAGGCTACCCCTTCACGTGGCATCTGCTGCCGGGAATGTTGACATCGTACAAATGCTGCTGGAGGCTCGTGCCAACACGAACTCTGCCAATCCAGTGGGCTGCACAGCCCTCATGTGGGCTTGCAGGACAGACTACGCAGATGTGGGACGTCTGTTGCTGGAGGCAGGTGCTGACGTGGACTTGGTCGATATTGACGGCTACACCGCCTTGATGCGCGCATCCGCCGAAGGCCATGCCAGCGTTGTGAAGTTGCTCTTAGAGGCTAGGGCCAGCACAAACACCGTCAGCGAGAACGGCTGCCCAGCCCTGATGTTCGCATCTGCACGTGGCCGGCCGGAAGTGACACGATTGCTTTTGGAGGCTCAGGCCGACCCCAACTTTATCACAAAGAAGGGTCTCAGAGGCTACACATCTCTCATGAAGGCATCCGGTGCAGGCCACACTCAAGTGGTTCAGTTTCTCCTTGCAGGGCGAGCTGACCCGAATCTCGTCGGCAACGTTGGCCTCACAGCTCTGATTCAAGCGGCTGGCCAGGGCAGGGTCGAGGTGGTTCGCCTGCTCTTGGAGGCCAGGGCTGACGCAAACATCTCGGACGAATCTGGAAGCACAGCCCTTGATGATGCCAAAGACCATAGGGAAGTTGTGGCCTTGCTCGAGCCCCACGTGGAACGGCGTCCAGGAAACACGAGAGAGCCTTCAGCCACCGGCAGCAGTTGCCAGGTGTCCTGAGACCAAAAAAGCTGTCAGCTTGTTGCCGTTTCTCAGCCAGCCTCAATATGAGGCCATATAGGGACTTTGATAAGTACTGTAGTATACAGTTGTATAATGCCAAAAATTAACAAGGAGCCCCAGAATAGTATTGCTAGTTGTCTAGGTCCTGAGCAAGCTCAAGCCCCCCTAAACCCTAAACCCCTAAACTCAGCCCTAAACCCTAAACCCAAGCCCCTGTGAAGGCCGAAGCCAAGGCAACCGATGCCGAGCGCCGTGCAGAGGGGAGCCTGGGCCTCAGGGCTTTCGGGTTCCTGATCTATCAAGAACTAGGTTTAGAGTTTAAGTTTTAGGTTTAGGGGTTCAGGGGTCAGGGTTTAGGTTTTAGGGGTTTAGGATCTAGGGTTTAGGTTTAGGGGTTTAGCGTTTCGGGTTTAGGGTTTAGAGGCAGGGTTTAGGTTTAGGGGTTTAGGGTTTAAGTCTAGGGTTTAGGTGTAGGGGTTTAGGGTTTCGGGCTTTTGGCGTCCGGCAGAGGAGGCTATGAGTTTGTGTACGGGGCTGCGCCACCTTGCTCGGCTGCGCTCTGCAACCACTTGAACTGCAGCGCGTCTCGAAACAATGTAGGTCATGCGCAGAGCTCCCTAATCCTAAATCCTGAGGCCGAGATGGCACGGAGTGCTAAATGTGTTTTTTCTTGGATCGTCTTCTTGCTTATCGCCGTAATCAATAGTCAATAGGCTAGTTTAAGTCTTATTTCCGCTTCATGGAAACTTTGAGGCAGATTCTCGTAAAGGAGGCTTTCAGGAGTGGTGTGGCTGTCGCAGGAGAGTTGGAATGTTCTGCCTCGATTTCGGGATTGCAGGATCTCTTCATTCGGTGTTGGGAGCTTCAGAGGGACAGGACGAGAGCATCGAGGATGACTTTCGGGGTTTTAAGTTTGGGCTTGAGGGTTGAACATTGGTTTTGCTGGGTGGTCGGGTCTCTTTTGCTCGGCTTGGGCTCCGTCCTGTAGTTATTGTTTGTGTCGTTCTAAACTGTTTGGAAGAGTTTCGCAGTGCATACAGCAATTATGTATTCGGCATCAAGTGTAGGGTACCTCGGCCCCGAATTCATATAGTATGAGGTACCGAAACGGATTTGCAACAGCTCGGTGCCTTTTTTTCATGTCCACGTTCATATTATCGCCGTCTCCATAACCGTGAAGCGCGAAGAACCCCTAACCGCCACACTCGGAGGTTGTAGAAGTTTAGATTAGCAAGGTTTCTGGGTTCAGGGTTTTTTTGGGCCCCTACTTCGAAGCACAGTCCGACAGATGGCAGAGCCCTTAGGCTGCATGCCCAGACTCGAGACGCACCGCGCACGGCGCCAGGCGCTGCGCGCGCAGCACGGAGCTGAGCCTCCAGGTTTGGCGTTTGAGGTGTCTAGGGTTTAGGGTTTAGGGTTTAGGGTTTAGGGTTTGGAGCTGGGGTCTTGTGGTAAGTTTCCTCGTACGCGTGTCTGTTTGTCTTTCATTTGGTCGCCTTGCTCTCTAGATGAGAACATATAGGGTTGACAGGCCATGTGGGTATGTACATGAATGCATGCAAGCACCTGCCAAAGGGCCTTCCCTTCTTGGACACATGCATGCATGACGATTCTTTTCGGCGCGTGTGCCTAATTTTACATGCCCATGATACATAATATAAGGGGCCTTAATAATTAGAATAGGGTTTTGGGTATTTTGTACTAGAGCTATAATAGGGAGCCCCCAAAACCCTATGCTAATTATTAAGGCCCTTTCAGTACTGGCAGTTGGGATTTTTCCGGTCGTTGGGTTTCCGGCACTCAGGGCCTCCTTGCATCGCCGTGCTCATGCAACAGCCACGGCTGCTGCGCGGCTGAAGTGCCAGCTGAACCGCTTGCGACCCTTGGCCACTTGGCAAAGGTATGCAGAAGGCTTGTGGGCTTGCTTCTGCTCTTTAGAGGCTCGGATTGATAGATTCGGCTGTTGCCTGTTGCATTGTCGGATTGATGCTCGAAGGACGGTTCTCCGAGCTTCTCGAATCACGGAACGGCAGCCTTCACGAACTCTGGTTGATTGCAGGTCTGCCGTCTGGAGACGACTTTGAAGGCCAGCCTTGGATCTTGCCCTCCACACTCCCGAGTCAGATCCTACATCTTCACAGCTCTTGAGCCCGGTTTTGTCGGAGGCCATGGACCAAGGAGCAAGACGCCCGGGGAAGCTTCGGGGTTGCTGGGCCCGGGCCTTGACGCCCTCTGCTAGTCGGATGCGCGGCACATTCCCTTCTGTGCCGGATTGCCCAGCGAAGCTGGCGGCTGGCCCACATTTCAGGTAAGAAACCACCTGCAGAGTTGTGGGCAAGGAAGGTTGAAGAGCTGATCTCCGAAGGCTCACATCAGACTCTACTGTAGGGTCGAGTTTTGGACATGCAACACATCTGGACCGCTGGCACGTGAAACAGTCACGGGGATCTTGCGCGCTCTTTGGCATCGCTCCTGGTGAGACTGCTGACTTTTCCTTCAGTGGCTTCACATGGCAACCGAGCTAAAGTTGCTAAAAGTTTCGAAGAAGCAGCAAGGAGAGCGAGAGAGAGAGAGAGAGAGATGGGGAGACAGAACAGAAGATGGGTGATCCGTGTTTATGAAGTTATCTGTCCCCGGTGGCAGCGTACAATGACACACACGCACACATGGGTTGTACGCAAGCGCCTTGTTGCGTCTTCTGTCCTTTTGGCTCTCAGCTGCAGCGGCAGGGTCTGGTTCATGTCTCCTCAGCCGGACGAGCAGGCCCTTAGTAGCTGAGTGGATACACTTTACACTTTTTGGGATAATATTACCCACTATTATAAAAAAACTGAAAGTGTACACTTTTTCTGGCTTATGAAATCAGCAACTAAGGGCCGGATTTCGAGGGACGCCGAACTCTGAAACTTTGCTCCTGCGGGAAGGTCCCAGAGCGGTGGCTCTGGTGGCCACTGCTACGCGGCCATGCCGGTGGCCGCAACCTTATTCTCACGGCTTATGCGATCTGTCAAAATCTGAAGGACAGTCGGCCGGAAGCCTTTCCAAGTGGTACTTTTTTGATGTGAGGCCGAGCTCACATTCCGGCGGGCGCGGCCCTTAGCTCTGGTCGAGAAGATGTCTATGCATTTTTGGAGGTTCAGCTGGCCGTGGCGTGCCTTCCAAACAGGTAGAAGCTTTGGCAAACTGGTAGCATGCCGTTCGCTGCAGTCTTTGTAAGTGTGTGGTGTCCGTCTCGGTGTGGGATATGATTTAGGGTGTATTATACTTGTATGTGAAGCAGACATAGATATAAATCATACAAGTACTCGTATTGAATGCATATATATATATACATATGTACACACACAGAGCGACCGACCGACCGACTGACCCACCTACCTACCTACCTACCTACCTGCCTGCCTGCCTGCCTGCCTACCTACCTACCTACCCACCCA